CTCCTCTCATTGATTCATTCTGTAACAAAATGTAGAGGGTAATTGCTAACACATATCTGATTGTCATTCTAGAAGAGCCATAAAGTTCATGGTTCCTATTTAGTTCATCTAAAATTTATAAATATGGGTTGTGTCATACGAAACATGTTGCTGAGTCTTGTAGGGTGTCCTTCAAGTAGGTCCCAAACCCATTTATCAACAATGTAAGATGATGCTATGCAGGGAGACCATTTACATAAAAGTTGTAGTACTCGTACATCAAATATACTGCTGCCACAATTCTTCTTATGCGTCTCTCTCTTTGTGAATTAATGCTAAACAAGTGTTTTGTTCATGTAAGACGTGTGAATCAAACATCTTTAGTAAACTTCGAATAACGAATTACAAAATGTACGATGAAAAAACAAACATCCAAAATAGCATTAACAATGTTTCAAGGAAAAGGAAAAAATATCCAAATAAAAAATCTGATAAGCCTATTGGAAAACAAATACAAATAGTGTAAAGATAACTGAATAAAATCAAGAGTTACTGATATCGTAAAAAAAACATAAATAATTGACCCTACAACCAGGGCTCTTTTTCATGAAGAACTCTCTATGGGTCGGGTCCTCCAACCACTTTATAAAGTTCAAATATAACGACATGTCCTCATAAATTTCTATAGCTGCCTCCAAAACTCGGATAATTTCTTCGATGGAGGCCGCTTGTGAAGTACCAGGGTCACTAGTGCATGAAGCCACCAGTTTTTGATATTTGACTTCTAATGAAAGTAGTCCATTCTTTTTTTTCTTTTTCACTACCCTTGGACGCTTTGACCTGCATGTGGACACACTTCATTTTGGTTTAGACTTGGCCCTTCACCGGAGTCAGTTGTTTGCTCGACATCCAAGTTTTTGGGTGTGTCTGCAAGCCCTTGCTCATTAGGAGTACAAGCATTAGTCCTCATTGCCACGACCCCATCAAACATATGGTCCAACTTTTCTTCCAGATCAGAGTCAATACCACTGAATTTAAATTTATTGACGGTTGGCATTACCTGCAATATAAGGGGACGTGGATATGTTCATACAGTTCAAGAAAAGAAAGCCAGAAAAAGAAAGTTATACATGGATGTGTTCTGAACTCCATTCTCTTAGCCCACCGTCGAAGCATCAATAGTTCATTTGATTGGATCTTAACCCAAGCCCGTGAATCCTCGTTTTAATTCCTTTCACATTTTTCAGTCCTTTTTCAACTGATCCCACTTGTTTTTTAGTCGCAGCATATCGTATTCCCTTCCCGTCATTTCCTTGAACATTTTCATAATATTTTGCCATCAATACTTGTTAAAATAGACAGTGGGTCTATTTCTCAATTCGTCTTAAAATATGAGTTTGACTTCTTTATCCCACATAGCTAATGAACCGACTTCTTTTGTCTTAACCATTGCGTTACTAACATAAAAAAAATCAAACATAAATATTTGACAGAAGAAGTAATTAGCACAAATCACAACCACACACCAACACCTCCACACGAGCACCTCCATACCAACACAACCACAAATCTACACCTCTACACAACACAACCACACACAAACACTTCCAAACTGTCACACACCAACACCTCTACACCAACACAACCACACACCACAACCACACACCAACACCTCCACACAACACAACCACACACAACTACACACCAACACTTCCACATTTCCACACACCACCATGAAAACTTCCACAAACACAACCACACATCACCACTTCCACACCTCCATGCACCACCACCAACACCTCCACAAACACAACCACACAGCAACACATCCACACCACACCAAAATCACCACACCACACCAAAATCACCACACCAAAACCTCCACATCTCCACACAACACACAACCACACACAACCACACACCACGCACAACCACAACCTCCACACAACACAGCCACACAACACAACCCCACAAAGCACACAACCACACATGACCAACATCACTGTAAAACATCACTGCAACATCACAGTAACCACCACCATTGCAACACAAATATTCGACCAACCACTACTTTCACAGGACAAAATTTTAGAACAACACATCATAAGGTCAGCTAAGGGAAATCAATCTTCTTTATCATCACAGTAACCATCAACATTATAACACAAATAATGCTCTCACCAAAATCACTGAACAACCCATCACAATACCACCACTAAAAAAAATCGTAAAAACCAAAATCACAGAACCTGCAAAATCCAATGTCAGTGCACAACCACCCGAAAATCTTCTTCATCATCACTGTAACCACCAACATCACAACACAAACAATGCTCTCACCAAATTCACAGAACAAGCCATAACAACACCACAAATAAATAAAATCGCAAAAATCAATATCACAAAACTTTCAAAATCCAACACCAGTGCACAACCACCAGAAAATCATCAACCGGATAAAGCTCAGAAAAGCTAAAATGATCGCAAAATCAAAATTCCAGAATAGATAATGATAGAGAATATCGTGGGCCAGGAATAACAAAAGAATCAAACGAAGTCGAAGAACAGAGGGAATAGGAAAAGGAGAAGACAAACAAACCCTTGTTAACGCAGCCACAGAGAGGAGGAAAATTGTAATGTTACCTTTAGTGCAGAATTGCGAGAGAGGGATGAGCGAAACACGAGAGCGAAGAGCTCACAAGAGAGAGGAGAGCGAGACACCTTGGGGTCGGGCAATAAAAAACTGAACAAAAAGAAAAAACGAAACGTGGGCCGCAGGGTCAAATCGACATTTTATCAATTTTTTTATAACCTCCGCTGCGACGCACTTTCCAAACGCACCACTTTGTGTTTACACACCGCAACACTTTCCAAACGCACCCCTTTGTGTTTTTGCGCCGCACCGCACAAAAAACATTGCGCAACACTAAAACAAACACATCCTTAGGGTCTGTTTGGGGCAGCTGCAGCTTATCCAGCTTCTGCTGATAAGCAGCTTATCCTGATAATCTGCTGATGAGCAGCTGATCCGGATAAGCTGTCTGGCTGTTTGGTTGGCGCTTATGAAAAATAGCTGATCCTGAAAAATTGACAATTTTGCCCCTGTACTTAATAAGTTGTTTAGCTGTTTAGTTAGTGCGTTCTGTAAACAGCTTATTTGTAATTTTTTTTTTAAATTAAATAAATAATCGGTGCAGCGAAATTTGTTAGTTTTTCAACAAAATTAAAGAAAAATGTTCAGACAAGAAAATACAAAAAAGTTGATTTATATTTATATAACTAAAACATATTTGATCACATCAAACGAATATGTTACACATACAAATGTAAAATGCGCTTGATAGAAGAAATACTAAATACTAAAACATATCCGATCACATCAAACAAATATTTAAGCAATTTCATTATTCTTAAAAGACACTGGATAGAAGAAATATTAACATAAAACCAATCCATTAAATTAGACAACTAATAACTTTACATACAGACTTATATAGATCAGTAAGGGGAAAAATCTTTCACACAAAGAAATCAATAACATTTATTTAAAATTTCATCCTCCATATTTATTTGCTCGCCGATGCAAATAAAAAAATGCAAACAAGGTAATTTAATATTATAAATTAAAGCTAAAATAATAACACATTTGGCTATATTTGAACTTGTTAAGTGTTGAGAAAAAATAAGACATAATATGTGTATCAACTAATTGGATGAAAATGTGCATCATAACTAGGTCTGTCAAAACGGCTCAACTCCCACAACAAAAAAAATTAAAGTTTGGGTGCATGATATGTACATTGAATGGTATGTATGTAAATCTTCCAAATGAAAAAAATAAATAAAATAAAAAACAAAAACTAGAATTAAGCAAACTTGAGTTCGAAATCCAAACTACGAATTTATTTATGATCTCAATTGAATCTAAATTAGAAAGAATAAGACATAACATGAACCTATATATGATCTCAATTAAATCCAAACTTGCATCTGCATTAAAACATAGTTATGAAACTAATCTATAAATGAGCAAGAGTTCGAAATGAGTCTAAAATTGATGAGTGAAATCATGTTAAAGCATGAGCTTTTGTGGCAATGTAAATTAATACACAAATATTTAAAATAAAAAGAGACTTAACTATTTGCTAAATGAATTTCATGACTACAAAAATATTTGTTATTATTTCTATTTAAATATTTAAAGGATTACATAGATTTTGTGTTTAAATGTGAATCCATTGAGTGATATATAAATTGCCCTTGCTTTGAAATTTGAATCACTCGGTACTGTATTAAGCTTTGATGAAATGAAGTTGAGGATTACACATCCAATGACTACTATAGTTTAAAGTGACTTATGTCATATAGGAAAGATGCACTTTTTTTTTTCAATTATTGAAAAGTTAGTAAACCCTCCTCAAGAAGTGAGAGGAAAAAGATATAAAAAGTTTAATCGATAAAACAGTAAACAACAAAGAAAAATAAAATAAGAACACTAAATAGATGCCTTCTTTATGCTAAGATTAGAATCCATCCAAATTTTGCCCTGGCAAAAAGCATTAAATGAGAATTTTTAAACCATCATTGATTGAATATAAGAAGTTCATGCTATTCCAAATGTTCCAAAGGGGCCTACATCATATAAAGGCTTACATCATAAAAGCTTACATCATGTAAAGGCCAAAGCTTTACTGAACTTATTTATTTCCTTACACCTATAGAATCCTTTTCTAGATAGGGATTGCTTAAGAAAAGATTTACTGAACTTATTTATTTACATAAACCTTTGATAAGGCAAAGAACTCAAAATTCAATCAAAATGAAGTTGAAAAGTTCCAATTGCCAAAAATGAGATAGGGATAGCTTCAACTTACAAAGCTTGCAAAACGGAAGGGATTTCTTGCGCTCTTCTTGATGGCTTTGTGCAAAAAATGAAGGGGTAGAAACACTCATGCGATTTTTGGCATAGAGGGGAAGGAAGAGAGGGCTTCGGTGCCGTCGACTTTAGAGAGGAGGAAACCCTAGAATAGCGAATCGGAGAGGAGGAAGGAAAGGGCTACAGTTCGATCGCGAACGAAGCAGAGAGCGGGTTTGCGAGCTCGATCTCGAACGAAGGAGGAAGAAATGCCGAATCCGAGAGGCGCAAGAGTAATTCGGGAGAAAATGCGACAAGGCAACGCGGACCGCCGAATCCGCGTTGCCTTGCTCTTGCGCGAGGGTAGCGGAGTAATTCGGGAGAAAACGCGACAAGGCAACACGGACCGCCGGTAAAAGATCCCGCGGGCAGCGTCATTCCTAAAATAAAATTCGTGATTTTCAGCACGCAGGTAAAAGTGTTATTCAAACAGTAAGACGGCTTTTTCAAACGCCGCCCACTATTTTAAGCTGCCCCAAACAAAAACTTAATTTCGCTCTTGCACGGTTGAATAAATTAAATATAAGTGTGTATAAGTAAAAATCTTTGAGTGTCACAACACTAAGATTGTGGTCATAACATTTAACATACTTGGTATTAGTCCATTCACATTAGTACAGTTCTTTCCTCCTACAGTTGAGCGCATCGTTTGTGTAATTAAATTTATGATTCATGAAGTCATAGTTATAAATGTATAGCTAAGAACTGGAACAAGTTTAACCACCCTAAGAAAGTATTCTAAAGCTTAAAGATAATTCATTAATCTTCTATGATAAATCTATAGCAACAAAATTAAAATTTTCAAACTAAACCTAACCTCGAAAACAAAATATCAGGGCACGGGAAGAAGAAAGAAGGGTACATCACCTGGTGAGAAAGGCTCTGGATCTCGCTAGGGCTCATGAGATCGGAGAACTCGAGATCAAGAACGACCTTTTGCCCAACCAAAGCTGCCTTTCGTAGCCTCTCAGCACGCTTACTGCGCTCCTCCGTCCTCTTCTCCATTCGGTCCCGCCTCGTCTCCTTACGCGACTCCACGAGTCGCATTCTTTCCTCCTCCGTTTTGTTGGTGAGCTTCTCCTCCCATTCGCGGCGGCGGCGCTCTAGATCTTGCCGCCTTCGCTCCTTCTCCGCTGCTTTCCGCTCAGCCTTCCTTGCCTGAAGCCGCTGTTGCTTAAGTAATCGCTTCATCGCGCTTTTCGACATGGAAGGGGTTTCTCCAGCGTCTTCGACAGTGTTGCTGCCGGCTGTGAGGGGTTTGTTATCTTCCCTGGTTTCTAACATTGTGGTTGGCGGCGCAGGGGGACGGAGATGTCAGAAGATGGGAGTCTGGCAGGGGGTTGTAGCAATCGGAAGGAGTGCTATCAAAACGGGTCT